CAACTTTTGTATCCTTTGGGCCCATGCAAGTTTTGTGTAGGCAGCCCTGTAATGCAACTAGGAGAATACAAACAACATTGACTGGCCATTCTTTAGCCATTCAACTGAACTGGAATGGCTCAAACCAAAAGAGACCTTTTCAGAACCTGTTGTTTCATATAGGCCAGGGATCCTCACATCTGGCTCACAAGATCCACTTTTCCTGCAGAGTTTAGTTCTAACCTTAAGCAAACACACCTGAGCATGCTAATCAATGTCTTCAGGATCATTAGAAAATCACAGTTTGGTGAGTTTGATCAAAGATGGAGCTAAACTCTGCAGGAAAGTGGATCTCACGAGTCATATTTGAGGTGTAACAGACATGAGCCTGTTAATAAGAATTTTGTGGGCAGTTTTCTTCCTTACCACTAGGGGTGCTAGGGTGTTTTAGGTTTCCTTAAGTAAAGCCATGTGGTAGAGGGAGTTAGCAATAACAGGCAGCAGTAGCCAGCATGGTTCACCTGTTGAGCACATTGTGCTGTGTCCTGGTTGGGAAATGTGTCGTTTCAAGCCTAGTCTAAAGTAAAGAGTTGATGTTTGTTTCTATTTAAAAAGTGTACATTGCTGATGTTTTTGCAGAGATGTTACATGTATGTATGGCCTACGTTTGGATTGATGCTAAGAGTTTAAGTCAAGTGTTTTTGTATGCATTTTAGAAGGACTTTTTATTGGTGAGGTCACCACATCATGGTCCAGTTTGAATATGGATTTAAAGTTGTTTTCGACGTGGGACCATAGTCTGGATTATTTTTGACTGTTCCTGGTTAGGAAGAGTCTGGTGTTTAAGAGGTGTGGTGTGTTTTCATTACAAGAAGTTGGATTATTCATTTGTTATCAGCCAACTTCAGCTATGGAAAGTGTTTGGACATAATGCAATCTTACATTGCTTTGTTTGCTTTCTTTCTTTTTGTGTGTGTACTTTTGTGTATTTACATTTCTGGCTATATGTAGCTGTATTAACCTGAATTTAATGTTTTGTATTTAATAAATTGATTTGAAATCCCTTTGACTACTGTACATTTTTGACAATACAGACATTAGTTATGTGGTGACTGCATCCATTTCAGATGTATACTAAATGTTTTTCCCAAAGTATTAAAGTGATGTATTGTTGTAGATTAATAGTGCAGGCCCTGTGTGGGCTTAGTGAGGGCTTCCTGGGGGCTAAGTGAGGGCTGCCCATGCAGGGCCCGTGCTAAGGGGCCAAGATTTTGCCAATGAGCAAATTCTCAGGGGCCCTGCGCTGGCAGCCCGTTGGGGGCCCTTAGGCTAGCTCTAAGTGGGCCCGTAAAGGGCCAGTGCAGGCTTGTTTGCAGGGTATCTTGACTGATTTATCTCAGTAGAAGATGAGAGTTCAATAAATGCTCTTGTGAAACTGCAGGATTACTTTTGGAGATGGAAACAACTTATACTACTAAGTGAATTGCTGAAAAACAACATACAGCCTGATCTATAATTGAGTCTAATTAATCTACTCTGAAAATATAAATTTTGTAAATGACTGGCAACAGAAATGTCTTACTCTTCAACAGCTAGCAAACGGTCTCTTACCTAGTTACACACATAAATACAGACCAACCTCCCATATGAAAACAAACCTGATAGATCTGTGCATCCTCATGCAAATCAAACACTTCCTTCTTCCTGCAGCACTAATCAAAATGTGCCTGAACGTGACACACGGGAACAATTTACTTACTGCAGCTGATTTCGACTCCTGAAGTTAATGCTGAATCTTTATTCATTAACTCTAGGATGTACATGGGATTTCTCAAAACTGACCCATTTAAATGACTTGCAGTGACATAAGGCTACATTTTGAAAGTTTTGAAAGTCAGTTGTCATGAGGGCCTGTGACCTCTTTAGCATATACAGATGCTGACCGGTGATTTTAATTTTGCATGCGTCAGCTACTAATCACGTTTAATTCAATCAGGCTTTGACCTGAATGACTACAGAAGCATTTATAATATCTATGTGACTGTGGATTCTATGCTTTAGCTCAGAACCACTGGTTTTCACAAAGAGATAAAGTACATATTTATGTTTACATTTGATACATCGTAATACAGCCATTTATTTTAATTTAGGAAATTATTGTACTAACATGTTTTGCACCCCAACTCTTCGGTAACCTTGCTAACTTTTGGGTTGCATACATACTTGGCAATCTATTCAATATCCTCCTCACGTATATACAGTATGTACTTGTTTCATAATTAAATTTTGTACTTTGCAATTTGTAATACAGAAATGTTCAGTTTGATATACTGAACAAATTTCAATACTGTCAGCATATAGAAACCCTGTGATATTGTTTTTACAAGATTAAATGCCTGAATATCAAGCATTTAGTGCTAAATTTGCTGATTTTATTTTTATTCATTTTTTTGCCAGATGCTGAATTTTACAGAATTTTCATAAGGAACTACAGAAAAATATTCTATAATACATGTACTGTTTTATAAAAAAAATAAAAATAAAATAGTTATCTGTTCAAGTGATGGCTGTCACATGAGTAATGATAGGTAGAAGGGTAAAAAAATACTTCAAATCTGGATTGTGGGTCCCCCTGCTGGTTACATAGGGGTAGAGCTTTTATTTTATTTTATATTTTATTTTACCAACTAACTAAATAAATTAATATTCTATTTTTTGTTATTTTATTTTTTATGTGTGTAAAAGGGTATGCATGTGTATAATGTAAGCAGCAAGATAGATAGATAGATAGATAGATAGATAGATAGATAGATAGATAGAT